TCATGTCGCCGGCCTTCCAACAAATGACCAGCGTTCTGGCGTGCCATCAGGCTGTCCGGCTGTGGACCGGCGGACGGGTCGTCCGTAAGCGCAATCTCGACTGCGCTTGGGCACGCGGGTCGACGGCGTGCTGTGTGCGACGGTCGCTGTGTTCGCAGCGCGCGTACAGGCGTACATTTAGTTTTCCAACATTCACAATTGGCGTAGTCACGCTTTAAGTCGTCTCGCGAGTTTGTGCAACGCACCGTTGCGCTGCGAATTGCAGGACTAATTGCAAGATGCCAAGTTTTAAAAATCGGCGCCGTGTACGCAAGCTGCTGACGTCAAAACTGTTCGTGATTTGGCGTTGAAAACTAGATTAGCGTGTTGGCTCACTCATTCTCTCTCTATACAACACTGTTGTTGATCACATTTTGACACGTTATGTGTGGCGGTTGCTTTGGTCGCAAACGTCCTGGAGCTCGATAGTATCTAGCTTTCGACTTTGCTCACTTCGCCGGGGGTCCCTTTAAAGTGACAGCTTTCTGGCATGCCAGAATATTCCAGAACATCCCAACAGGTGTTCCGGCAGTGACGTGACAGCACGCCTCCCAGACTACCCACGATTTAGTGTCGAAAACTACATGAGCGTGTTGGCCAATTCATTTTCTCTCTATACCAGCCTTTTGTTCATCGCGCTTTCACATATGTTGCTCGCAAATGAGTCTAGACTAATTGCCTGCATGGCGGCTTTTTACACCGCGACCGGCGCCGTCCGGTGTCTCGGCCGACGCCGGAGGTTGCTTCAAGGATAAACGGCCATCTAATCACACGGAGGCACTGGAGAGTGGCATGCATTGATCAGAAATCGATCACGCAATGACCTTGCATGAATCGTCATGTCGCTCGTGCTGTGCGTAACGCATGCACGAGCCAGCAAGATAGATTTGGCCGCTACCGGCCCTTTTCATATTTTGCGCCACATCTCGGCAACCAGGGCGCCTAAAACCGTGATAATGGATAGCTTTTATTCAGGATCACGTATTTTGCTCTTTTCCACAGCTATACACGTTTTGTGCTACATCTCTGCACCCAGGGCACGGCACGCTCGGGAGTAGCATGCATTAAAGGGGAATTGAATGTGGTTTAGATTATAGCGTCCCGTGTGCGCGAGCCAGGAGAGTTGATTTGGCCGCGAACGACCGTTTCTCACTGTTCGATACAATATAATGCCGTTTAATACAACGGCAGTGCGTGTTGCCATCATTCAAAAAGCTGACAGTTGATGGAAGGGGTGAAACTCAGCGGTCACGTCCCATGATCAATCACCGGTCCCATGGAATAGGTTTGCATTTGTTGCGGAGAACGCAGGCGAAGTGAGCTCCCTCGTGCCGGCAGCCACCAGCACCGCGCGGCCTGCGGCCGAGCCTTTTGCGTTTCACACCATATCTCGGCATCCAGGGCACCTAGAACTGTGATTTAAACTGCAAATAACAGATCATTCAAACTTATATATGTTCTAACAGCGTAGCAAAGCAAACGTGCAAACACTTGTACTATCTAACATTCGAAGAACACTACTGACGAATATGCACAGTGCATTGCTTGGCGGGCACATATAAGCAGGGGGAGCCATCAAAAGGTCCAGGATCGCATCGTCCAGTGTTCATATCGTCCAGGATCGCAGCATCCAGTGTTCATAAAGTCCAGAAAACGTCCAATTCCGTGTCCATTGGGGGAATTCATATGGACCATGGGCGCAAAGTCCGGAGTCGCAAAGTCCACAGTCGTGTAGTCCAGCGTTTAAAACGTCCAGTATCCATGGCCACCAGGCTAGTTTGGAGTCCTGCTGTTAGATAACACTACAGAAGCATGTTTGAGTCCTGTCGCTACTTCCCTCTTTTGTCAACAGATGGCACAGTCAACCTGGTATTCCACTGATGATCGCGTGATGCGTACAGTCAAGCATGGTTACTATAAATTACGTAGACGTCTGTCGGCCGTGTCCGGCCTGGGTGCGGCCGCGCCCAGGGGTTTACCGGTGGACTGGGCGCAGATGCGCCGGGCGGCGGCGCGGCCGGAGGCATGGCGGGCGGCGTGGGCTCGGCAGGGACCGCTGTGCCTGCGGGGTAAGTGGGCTCTTCTGCCCCGCCGCTGCTGCCTGGGCCCCAAATGCCAGGGTACACGCGGATGCTCAGGGGCCCTTCATTTTGGTATCGGGTTCTTTCCACTTGCTTGGAGTACCCCTGCTGTTGCTGGGGCCCCATATAAGGTAACGCTCCTAGGCACTCGATGCTCAGGAGCCTTCTTCATTGACCTATGGCTGTTTCCCTTTTTGAGCTTATTTACTGAGGGACCCTTCACTTATCAGAGCTCTCTCTGTTAACCTGCCCGGGCACTCTTGATCACACAAGGGCGTTAATTCATGTACACTTATCTTCGGCTGGTGGCCCTTTGTTCAGGGGATCCTGTACTCCGGCCGGACTCTATATGTTAGCCTGCCGGGGTGCTCCCGATCGTTCAAGGGCCCCACGATATTGGTGTTAGGTTCTTCTCGCTTGTTACGAGGACCCTTCACTGTTCACTGGAGCTTCTTTGTTGACCTGCCACGACAGTTTCGATTGCCCATGTGCCGTCCTTATTGGTCTCGGGGTTTTCCATATCATAGGAGACCCTACGCCATTAAAGGGGGCCCAAATCGTAATCATTCTTATTGGGGCTTTTCTTCTTACCGACTGATGACTGAATTTGCGGCTATGGCGATTACGCCGTTGAATTCGTTATTGTCATTGTCGAACATAATTTTACACGCCGCCGGCGTTGTGCATCTTATTTCCATTGCTTATTGAACTTGTGACGATTATTATACCTGTACGTTACGTTTTAATATATTTTTCAAGCAAAGGATATTCTGCATTCCCTTGCAACAGACAAGGCAAAAACTCTGTGCTAGTCCTCAGCCATCAGCTGATGTCTTCAACTACCCGGCTAAACGTGTATAAACTAGGAATCAAGGTCGTGCTTGATTTGGATGGTATTTAGCAGCTAATTTAAGTGTATGCTGCCATGTTTTCTTCGAAATACTTAGCCTTAAAACGACAGCATCCACTATGATCCGACGAAGATGAACAAGCTCCATACATCTGCATACAAAGCACGTCTGGTTTGTTAGGGCTGTACGCAGCAAGCTAGGTTCCCTTATGCGAACTGCACGCATAGGAATATTAAAACCCAATGGCCGGAATACCAAGATTTTTGCTGGATACAGACCTGAAGTCTAAGGAGCTCACAAGGGAAGAGGACTTCTCCAGTTGTCTAGCATTTTTGAGGTGTGCATGTGTGGAAATTTAGCTACCGTCAAGTTTACTGCTCCCGATTACTCTGACATGGTGTCGTGTTAGTTCTGGCCCGTGCTTTTGACCGAATCGCACATAGCGTTTAAAAATGATGCATATATATATATATATATATATATATATATATATATATATATATACTTTTCTGACGACAGACACAGGAAGCTCGCAAAACTTGCACGGTATATGACTGGTGACTAACTCTTCCATATCTTTGACTCTTCGTTTCATTTTGGCACCCTAACCACTTTAAATCAGTACATAAAACACGAGCATGCAAACCAATAATAACTTTTCACTGGACAGCACTCACTGCCGTTTTGACTTCGCAACAACAAACAATCATTTAGCCGTGCAGAATATGTCATTTAGTACCACACACTGTGAATAACATAATTACACAGCAAATCACAAACTGCATGCCAACCACACAATACCCGCGCCATTCATTAGTGTCTTGTTCCTCGTCTAAGTGATTTAACTGTGATGCTGCTCCAAAGAGATAATTCAGTAGTTTGATTAATTTCTTGTCTAGAAGTCGTTTGTGGTCAATGCATGGAGTATGCATACAGAATGTTGAGTTTCACTTTTTTGAGTGTAATGATAAATTGCAGTAATTTTTTAAGCGCTCGGCGCGCGAGGAGAGCAGAGGTCGAGGAGAGGTCGGGCTGCACGTGATTCCTTGGTTGCCCCCTCCGTGAGGTGCCGCCTGCCACGTCGAAACAAAAATGTTGTAGTTACACCATAGTAGCATACGGAACCTTGCCAGCAACACCTAGCAGCAGTCAACTAACGGGTGGAAGTTGACCACGTATCGAAATCGGTACTTTCCAACGCTTCGAACAAATTGGAAACACGAATGGAAACGCGCATGAAAACTAATCGGACCGGTTTGGAACCGGGCATCCGCCAATCACCATCCAGTTTTTCCCCCAATGACAAATCAGCGGTCTTTTCAACAGGTGGCGGCCAGGTCGACAAATCAGCAATTGCATAACAGCTGGACCTCGGTGGCCGGAGGATGCTGGTTCAGTCCGGCTGGGAGTTTTTTTTCACATGCGGCGAGTTGACCGACGCGGCAAAGGAAATAAACGATCCTGAAGGCAACCATTTTTCTTTCGTGCACTTGACAAGAAATTTGCGCCATGGATGTTGGATACTTTAACGGTTTTGTTGCGAGTGCTGTTGATATCTCCCACCTTTCCGGTGCCCAAACAGTCCGAACAAGCGGCGGCTGTCTGGGAAGGCGTTGCAGCATCCTGGCGAGTCCGATGCGAATACCGTAGCACGGGGTATTATGATAGAGACGTGTTCCTGTTCCCTCCCATTAAGGATTCAGTTTATGGTGAATAACAGTATCTTGACCTCAAATATCCTACATCATCATCATTATCGTAGAACCCACAGCATCCTCAGCATCTGCCTGCGGCTCCGGTAAGCATTGCGATGAGTAAGGCTGGATTGCATTGCAATGGATAAAGTCGTGGTCGCTGTGACAGCTGACCTTTCTTGCGGATTGCCAGCGCCTCAAGTTATATAGCATTGTTGCTAAATGTGAATGTGGAAAATAATCATGAACGAACGTGACGACAGATCGCCAAGCTGGAGGCGCCAGGGACCAGGACGCACAGCCGTACTCGGAGGCGTTCGAGGTTACTCGGAAACATGAAAAAGACGGCCAAGTCAAAGCGATGCGACATAAGAAGCGCGGGCCGCTTCTCTGCACGGTAAGAGGGTAAATCTATATGGCACACCACTTCCAAAATTCATTAAATGTCGGGTGAATGCAGTTACATTGGCAGGGCGCATGTGCCTGTGCCTCGGCGCATGTGTGCTGTGTCTCGGCGCACGTGTAACTGTGCCTCGGCGCATGTGTGGCTGTGCCTCGGCGCATGTGTACTGTGCCTCGGCGCATGTGTGCTGTGTCTCGGCGCATGTGCCTGTGCCTCGGCGCATGTGTACTGTGCCTCGGCGCATGTGTGCTGTGTCTCGGCGCATGTGCCTGTGCCTCGGCGCATGTGTACTGTGCCTCGGCGCATGCCGGGAGGCCAGTTCGCCCGGCGTTGCCAGACCGGGGGCCACGCCGGGCGTGGAGGCCATGCGGAGGTGCGTACCACTCCGTCTGATAACGCGCACAGGCGCTGCCGTCGCGTGGCGTGGTTGCGCGTGCTCAGTCCATTGCTCGACTGTCGGCATCGGTGATGTCTCTGACGCACGCTGTGCTGTTCACAGGTCGTTCATCTCCGCTGGAGCTCCCGCTCTGCTACCGTCCCGGTCACAGGACGGTGGCAGTGACGCCTGGTGGAGGGCGCTCTGTCTGCGCGTGCTCCAGGAATACCCGGGACCGCGGCGACCCGCCACCAACCAGCCTCTCCAGGTGTCGCGCCGGCGCCTCACCCTGGCGGCGTACGACCGGGTGCGGGGGGAGGCTCCACAACAGTCGAGCGCTGCTGGAGGGTACCGGCATCCAGTTGTGTCCTCTCAATGAGAGCATGCTCGGCAAGCGTTGAGTACCTGGCGCGAGAGAGCGTGTTTTTCAAGTGATATCAGCTCGCGTCCTCCTGACAACGCCAGTGACTGTGCCTAATACCCGCTGTCTTGCCACCTGAGAGTGACTGATTAGTTGATGCTCTGTCGTTTGTCGAAGGCACAAAGGCCTGCACGCATCCAGACGCCTCTCATATGAGCAGCTGACGGGCTGTTCGTCGTCTTTCGTTCAAGGACCGGACGCGTCTGGACGAGGGTCCGCACGCTGCTGCAGGGCCGGGACCGTGCCTGCCGAGCGACCCTTGGCGGCAGGACACCTACCCACAGCAGCGACGCGTCCGGTCACGCCTCCCCCCACGCATCACCCGACCGTGCCAGCTGCCGGGCCAGCCGACACCGTTGGCGAGGCGTCGGTGCGCCGGCTGGCCAGCGCGCCATCGCCAGCGGTGGTGCCGGCCGCCGCCGCCGCCTCCTGCCGCGCCGACAGCACCGCCGGCTGTCGTGGTGCTGTCGGACGCGGCCGGCGACCCAGCCGCCCTCTAGCGCCTCCTAGGCGCCGCTGCCGACCCAGCCGCCATCGCCAGCACCGCCGACCGCGGCGCCGGCCCAGCCGAGGCCGGGCATGCAGGCAGCGCTTCTTCTGCGGTGGGCGGAGGCGGCGCTCAGAGCGCGCGGAGCGTAGTGTTCTTTTATGTTTTTATGAGTGTGGCAAAAAACTTTTCGCCAAAAGAAGTTCGTCTTTTTGTTAGCATCACTGCATCCAGCGTGCGATGACGCACAGAAGCATAGTTGAAATGACAATGTTATGTTACATCAGCAAATGTTGGTAATTAGTGTACTTGACACTAATCGTTCGCTCACGGCATCACACGCCTTTATCGCGCCCGGCAAGTCAACGCCTTCTGTCAGCCGTCTGACGGTTACGGTGCGGGTGCTCCTGTATTTCGGTGCCCCTTGAAAGGAAAGTTTTGGATCACCTTTAATTGTTCTTTCAATCACCCACTTGCATTTGGTGTCTCAAGGAAATAAACGCAGTGGTGGTCCGAAAAAAAGGTGCCGCTTGGCCGAATGCGTCGATGCAGCATTTCGTTAATGGAGAAGCACGGCATTGTAATGACGCGTGCCGCAATGACAACGGAATGCTTTTGGTGCCTGCTTCCTTGAACAGGATGCCATTTCCCTGAACGGTCCGATTCGGATTTTTCAAAATGAAAGGCACATCGATTGTAATGCCGCTGGATTTTGGTGCCCTTTTTAAGTTAATCAGCGCAAAACTTAGTCGCAGCACAAAGAGCACATGTCATGTACACATAATTGTCGAGGGATCTCAGAGCACTCCGCTGTCCATGCGGGCGGCGACATAGTGACGCTGGGGATATTGCGACACAAATGAGCGAGATTTACAAACGCAACGCCGTAATCAATCCACGCAGATCAATACGCTCACGAAGAAAAAAAAACAAGACCCAGGCAAGACGTGAAAAAACAACCGACCGCGCATAATCATGATAAATTTGCTGAGATTCCGGGTGAAACGAAACCAAATAGAGATGTCAGCAAAATCAGATGTGATGCCAGGTGGATCAGGCGGACCAAGTTTGTTGGGCCAATGAGTCCATACAACACAGAGCAAAAATAGATTGACGCTTTGTTTTACTGAATAGAAACCCCGCTTGCCTCTCCTTGGTCAACTGCCAGCTGACATTTCGATAGGGGGGACGGGGAGGCAAACCACGCACCCGTTCCCGACCGCAGATCCGGCAATTGGGGAAGGTGATGTCCGGTTCAACTCAGTTATCGAAGGATCAGGGCGTGATATGTGGAGTTCCTCCCAGTAGTGTCACCAATGTGTTAGTCTCGGCGGCTGGCATTTCAGCTTGGAGTATGAGGCAGCGCTCTGATTGAAATGCCTGCCAACCTCTTACCCTCCCTAGATTTCGGAAAAAAAATCCCAGATTTAACGAATTTCATTCCGACACCAGCAAGATAATTCTCGTTGCTGGCTTGGTTTCTGGGGCACCTTTACTGTTGTTTCGGGGTTTCACCTCACAGTCAGGCTACGCTCGCCCTGACAGGGGGAGGAGGGTTTCCCCCTGGGTTTTCTGAGGGTATCTCTCCGGCATACCGTGACGTCGCATTCATATTCTTAGTAGTCTATGGTGGTTTTATTGTGCGTATTTTGACATACCAATGTGCCTCTTTCCTTTCCAAGCAGTGACATCTTTTAGGAAGGTAGCACGCCCGATTCACGCCCGGCGCTGGCAGCAGGTGGCAACTCACGTATTCGTCGATCCCACGCGGCGGCCCGACACCGTTACATCAACGGAGCTCAGCTCCATGAACATATGCTCAAAGTGCATCAAACTGCATGTTAACTGCACTGCATCCAGTGTTATGCAAAATGCATGTGTACATTTCGTGTCGTTGCAATGAGCTGGCTTCATAAATGTGGGCATGCACAGCTGGAAAAGTGAGATTTTCGGGGAAATTTGACCTTTGACTGGGAATAGTGAGATCAATCATTGACCTAACAACAAGTAAGTCATTGTCATTCTCTAAAACTCGTTGAGAACAATCCACTTGAGTTCAGTTCCACTAGACTCTCTCCTTAGCTTGGAAAAGGCAGGGGGTCGTATTGACTCCCCGCCCTCTACAACGTCCACTACCTACATCAGCCGGCGTTTATGGAACAGCGTGAATCAGGGCAAGGCTTCATGACAAAGGTATGCGAATCAATGCCTGGATCTCCGTTTCACTATTCTGATGACATACTTAACCAGCATATGGCAGGACGCTGAACACTTGAGTGGCAAACACTCGCCATGTGGTGACACAGTAAGGACTGCCACCAACGATTCGGCGCTGCTTAACTTTTGTATATTGTTTCCACTTTAAGGTAGTCAGAGCCAACGAGCTGCTCTTGGGAGCACTTATTCGTGAACAAATAAACCAGGCATGTATGCAAAATGGGCAATTAAGCATTTTCCTCATGCTGCCATGTTGTCGGTGATAGGCCGACAAAACACTCTGGATCAACTAACAACTTATCGGGCGCGTGAGGCCAAAGACGACAATGTAGCAGGGCCTCCGTGCCCATAGTGTCCGCCGACACTGCTAACTTTACGGATCGAGGAGACCGGACTTTGGACTGTCAGAACGGAATTCATCTCGTCGAGAGGGAGGCGTGGCCAGTCAAAGCGGCACTCATAAAACGGGAACTTTGCCTACAGGACGTGGGAGATGTGACCCGCGGGATGAGGCAAAGTTAAGTGGGAATACGATGAATAATTACAGCATATGGTGATTGTGGGACGAATGAGCAGAACAGAATACAAATCAGTAAATGATAAGGGCCAATAGGAACAACGAGAGCTCAGCAGAGAGAAGGGATGGGCTTTTAACTCCAGCTCAAATCAAGTAATGTTTAAGCAAAAGACAAACAAGGGGAGAGTTGGCGACATTCTCTGCTGGCCGTAACGTAACCTAAGTCGTGTCGGGCGGGTACAGCAGACTTCACTCACTACACTCAACATACTTATCCCAGTATCATTTCCCTAGCTCAACCTCCATCCGGAGCAGTGGCGTGACATTACCTAAATGTCTCTCAAGGAATTGCTCATCCTCACACATGAACAGCGCGGGTGCATCTCATTGCTTATCGCACACATTCTGAGCGCGGAGTACAGTGGTTCTTTGCAAGACGGCCAGGTTGCATGAACATATGGGGACATTACTAGCCAAAAATGAAAAAGGTCACGAAGAAACAAAGCAAACACCATCGCCGTCTTCGCAAATTGCAAATGGTCCAGAAACCCAATTAATAATAGTTGCAAATGTTGCAGAATATTGCCCTTCATAATGCAAAATAAGCATCAATGGACCCTGTGATTATCACGAACAGCCCTAGGAAAAATGAAGCCAATCAATGGTGAAATTTTGCAATTGCTTGAAAACTACGGGACGTTGCAACACCGTCTGGGGGTTAATAAAGCGAGATAAATTGGCACCACCTCCATTGTTCACACAACGCACGGAAGCTTCTATAAAGATGATTTGAGAAATCATCGCGAAGGGTTTGCTACATATTGCAAAAAACGATTAACGACCGTACAAAGCCAAATAGCGCCCTAGAAACACATCCAGCCTACTCGTAAGTATAAGCCCTCCGAGATAAAACCATGCATAACTGCAGCACTGCAAAAACGTCGCACATTGCAAGCAGCACACCACGTTGCAGCACTACAATGGTACGTGATATTTAGCAATCATCCATTGTTATGCTTTACATAAACTTATGTGATGATATAGTTATACGTGATGTAACTTTGTACGACTGAGGCTGCTCAACTCGCAACATTAATGTATACAAGACTCATCCAACCGGGATACAGCACACGAATCGTAGATGACTGAGCAATTGTCGATATTTCATGACAAGCAACCCCATCCCTGGGATGCCCAAATTCATACTGAGATATAATTGATCATCTCAGTTATAAGAAATTTTGGTACCACTGATTACGAATCTTGAAACGTGAAGTCTTGCACAAAGAGAACGAAACGGATCCAGGAATCCAGAAATCCAGGAAGGTAGCTAAAAAACAATTCACAAAGATTCATGGAGTTAAAATTGAATGCAGACACACATGCATGCATGCAGTATGCATGCACGCACAACGCACACACGTACGCAAGCACGCACGCAAGCACACACACCACAGGCCTGTTCACAAACTCCTCAATGCAGATAAAACCTGTGACAAGACCCATCATAATCAGGTGGCATATAGCAGCTATACTACACTTTCTATGTGTGATGTTGCTAGGCAAGCAGCATGACACATTAGAAAATGTGGTTACTTACAGCCATCAGTATGCACACACTAGAGATGCGGGGTATAATCCGTAAAGCTTACCTCAGAATTCCAG